ACAGTCTTCTAATCCGTTTCTTTCTACTTTCACTTTCGTTTTTGACATTTAAAGCTTTCTTAACAATAGAAATGTTTGTTTCTTGTTCTCTTAATTATACTTATTATTATTTTCCTTTAGAATGACATGAAAAATAAGTAGTTATAAATGTAAATCGCATTATAACAATCATTATCACAGTGACGATTTGAAAATTCAATTATCGATGTTAGAGAATTAATAATAGACCGCTCTTTTTTTCGCTTCAAAAGTATTGATCAGCTTATATTGAGTTTTAGTTAAATGAGTTTATTAAACAGCAAAAATGGAAAAAATTTCAAGAGATTATCCTCTCCTACCGTGTGAGTCATCCTTGACATACTGAATATCACATTCTAAGGTGTAATATAACTTTTTTTATCTCTTCCTACTGTTGATTTTGCATGTAAATACTACGAATAAAAAAGGATGGTTGATTTCAGCGCCTTATTTTAGAGATGTGAGGATACTGAAGTCACAGGACTAGGATCTTTGTTTGACAAATTTGTTTTTGGAAGAGCGTCGACAAAGACTGAATTGAATGGTCGAAATTTCCATAGGATAGGATCAGGGATTCATAAACAGCTACCCTGCATATCTCTATCTCATTTAAGAAAAACTTTGCTAAATGCTTTAACGTGTTTTAACGTGCGGAAAAAGGGTTGGTCGGTTTTAGTCAACAGATTTCTATACCACACGTCTCAGTTTCACTTTACAATGGTACGGCACGATTCGTTTTAGATGGTACGGGTATTCTGAGAAGTGGGAATGGCTTTATTTTCTCTTTATTAAACGTAAAAGAATTTAGTATCACGATGCCGCTTAATTAAATTAAATTAAGTTAGACATTTTCTGTCGACATTGAATTGACGAGTACTTAAGTCGTCGATTAGTACTAGATCGGTAAAAGAAATGAATTATGCTTTGCCCGATTACGTACAGCTGTTTCAATGTTGTATAACTTCGTATGTTCATTACAACTATTCTATCTATCATCCAACTTGAACGCTTTTCATTCTTTATGTCAACAGAGAAAGAGAGAGAAATAGAAGAAAAGAAGAAGAAAAGAAGAAAAACGAATTTTTGTATTCTGTTGTAAAAGTAAGAGAAGAGAAGCCAAAACACAGACTAAAATATTTTTATCGTCCACTTGTTCTAGGTAGGTAGGATAAGTTTTAAAGTACAAGTTGCGTAAGCTGTTCAATCTGATTTTCTTTTTTTCTTTATTCTTTATCGTGTAACAACAACAATTAAAATGTTTTTTACGAAACAGTTACTAATAAAAACACAGGCGGAGACAACAAAATTTTTTTGCTTTTTCATAAGGCGTTTTATTTGCATATTTATGTAAATCATGAGTTGGAATAACGAAGGTAAATTAACATTTTAGTGAGATAAAAACATCTTCAATTGTGCCATACTTGACGATGTAAAATGGAAATTATATTCTTTCTATTATCATAATACATACGTGTAGATGTCGATCGATCGACTATAGGCAGAATGTAATTGAGCATAACTTTATGTAATGAGGAGGCAGTAATAACAATTTTGTATAAATGTTATTAAACTCATTTTTAATACACAATAGAACAATAGAAAAATGAATTTGATGACTGACTAAATCATTGAGCGGAAGCGAGAATATTATTCTTTGTACAATAGTTGGATAGTAAATTATAAATCGAATTTCTCGTTTAAATATAGTCAAAAAGAAAGAGGCAACGAGAATAATATATGAAAACTTTAGTCTCTAGTGTGAGTAATAAAAGCCGTTTCGCTATTCATTCAGTTTATTTTTTTCAAATCATTTGATATTCATCTTATTTCCTTGAAATGACATGTTATGTATGCATTTGAGCCCTGAACAAAAAAAAGAAATTTCAACTCAGATCTGAACCCAAGGCTGTGTAGCAAAAAAAACTAATTTTTATACATTTACGTCCGAGATGAGCAATTTAACCTTGGATTTTTCTCTATTTTTGGGAATATTTTCTAAAAAAACATTTGTTCTGTTAGTTCGGTTCCTAGTTTCGAGTGTAAGTTGGATCTCATAAGTATTTGAATGCTTAAAACTCTAGAGTCGTATTTTCTTGCTCTTAACGTGTTTATTAGTAAATATTTATCAGTTGGAAGCATCTACGTCGATCTCTTTGCTCTCATTATAACAATATCTATAATTGATGTATCTAACGAAAATAATAGTTCTAAGTTAATCTAAGCATCATCTAAAATTTGAACATAGTTAATTTACACTTGCTCTCTCTGATTTATATTGAAAAGTAATCGATTGTCACAAAATGAGTGAATGATGCAATCAGTATAGTATCGTAGAATCGAAAAGATATTAGATATGACAATGACACTTTAGATATCACTAATAATATAAAGAGAATGAAAAAAAATTCTTCTTTGCTGTCCTTTTTGTATTAACGTCGCGCGATATATATCACATATACACATCAACGAACGAATAGATAATTGATCATATTTATTGAAGATCATTTAACCATTTTATCCTCATATAACGTACCATTAATAAGTATACAGTAAAATCGACTATGTAAAAACTTCTGTGTGAAGATTATTTCGTTTTTTAGTCTTAATAATTTTTTACAGTATATACTAGGTTGTGTTTGAGTTTTCGAAAGACTATTGTCGATGCTAGTAACAATTATGAAAGTATAAATTTTTAGTAGTAAAAATCTTCATTTCTAGCGTCCAAAGTCGTAATTAATAGGTTCAATTATTAGTCATTTTTATTAACTAAGTAATCACGATTTTTCCATATGAATTTCTTGCTTACGTCAGTCATGAGTTTTCACCATATGTATGAATGGTTTTTATTGCATAATCAAGAGATCATTTTGATTTTCTGACAGCATTTGTTTGATGAATTATATACACAGGAAGAAGTATATAAAACTAATTGATATGAAAGGCTAAGAAAAGAGAAGAGAAGAGAAAAAACTGATTGACCTTCACTCGTTTTTCAATTCATCACACACAACTCCGGTGTATATATATATGAAAGAAAATAGATTTTTCATTCAAATTGTGCAATATAGAATAAAAAATGTCGTAATGCGATAATGATCCCTCCCTCTATTTCCACTACTTAAATATGTGGTCATTTTCATTTTTCAAAAAAGAAATGCCATTAGAAAGAACAACCAAAATAATAAATTGAAATTACATGTGATGGAATTTGTGTGCATGTTGTTGAAGAGAGAGAGAGAGAAAGAGGAAATGTTGTGTTTATCGCCCAATTTTTCTTTGACACGTAATTTAGAGGTTAGTTTAAACAATTTTTATTTTTATTTTTGAACAGAAGTGTCTTATCTTGCATTCTTTTTTCACGGCCCAAAGAAATCGAAAGTAAAAGAAATCAGTTTTTGTCACAACTTTTCTTTCTTTTTTCATTCATGCACAGTCTATTCTGTAGACTGTATATGGATACTAATTAAAATAGAAGAATAAATGATTAGTTAGAAAAGACACACCTGTCATGAAAAAATTAGATTGTACACTCACTACTTCTCTTGTTTTCATTTCTCACATACATCTGCTTATGTTATTCGTGTGTTCAGTACAATTACTAACCGAAAGAAAATAAATAATAATGAACATACAGATAGAAATAAATGAGAGATTATCTATGATTTTAACGATAATCAACTTAAACTAGAGAAGGAGTCAAATAAGGATACTACTCACATGAGATATAATTTATATTTCAGTCAAGATTATGTCAATTAAAAATGAACTTTTTTTTGTCTTTAAATTTTCATTTCTCAATTAAAATATAAAGTTAAAAACTCTTGTTACAATATTTTTGAGTTCTTCATTAATGATCAGATTGAATAGTTATTTGAAAACATACATTTTCTTATGTTCAACAATATTATTATTGGGTAAGAATGTCATGTATCATATTTTTATATAAACAAACAATTTAGTTCTGGATTTGATGATACATTATTTTGAGAAACGAGATTTTCTTTTTTTTTAATATGACTTATTACGAGAATTTTTCTTTTCAAATAAATAATTCGTTCTATTTGCATTTTTCTTCTTATTTGAGCACATCCATAGTAAAATTTTAATGTTGAAATCGAGTTTTAATAAGGCTTCTATAAAAATTAGAAATGTAACAGTAAAAGCCATAAAAATATTTGATTTGTGTATACTAGAATATGACATGTTCATCTCTGTTTGTTGACTATTAATCTTTCATTCATATAATAGAATGGAGGATTTGACGTTGTTGAACAATATGTGATCATTGAAGAGAATATAACATTGAAAAGATCTAACACTAGTATCTGTATGTCAGACATATTTCGCAAACGGATTATGAAAAAAGATAGTTTCTTATTGTTTTTTTTTTTTTTGTTGTTGCTTCTACTCCTGTTTTCTTCTCTCTATGAACATTATCAATTGATGCTATATATAATTATCTAAAAATATGACAGAATATGTCTATTTTGTAAATGAGGGTTCATACGTCTTCTTTCTTTCTTCTGTTTCACAATCGGAAACTTGATGAGTAATATGATGCTTGATCCATCTCTGTACGCATATATAATAGTCCATATAAATGTTTCTTCAACCGCAACTTATGAGAGAGAAACTATATGATAAAAAAAAACAGAAAAAAAAAAGAGCTCAAAAATCATCATCATTCAAGAGAAGAAGAAAAAAAAGCTGTCGAGTTACCGGCTTTTTTTTTTTCTTTCTATAGATTTTCAATAGTTCTTCTAAAAGATGAATAACACAAACGTTTTTTTGTTGTTTTTTTTTGGCATCAGTAACAAATGCTTAGTATAGATTACGTGTTTCGATCATTATCATCATAAAATACTCTGAAACTGTCAAATATTTCTGTTGTTGTAAGTGTTGTTGCTGAAACGTTTTATCATACGATTTTCTTCTATTTTTGTTTTTGTTTTTTTTTTTGTTTCATTTTTAGAAATATTGTCATGATTCCTGATATAAATTTGATTATTCCATTTTTCTTATGTTTAATACAATCAAGTAGACAAACGAAAGAAGGTACAAAAAATATTAGTTATTTTCTTTTAATTTATCAATCAACATTTATTTGTTTTTAGTTGTCCTTTTGGATACAAGAGAAGCAAGAGATTATTTAAATTGGGAAAAAAAGACAAATGATCTAGATGATGAAACAAATTCAAATCGTGGTGTTCGTATCTTTTTAAATTTATTAATTCTCATTTTTAAATTATTTTCTCTCTCTCTATATATATATATATTATTCTAGTGGAGTGAAATGAGTTGGAATGCTGGCATGTTTCGTTTAATATTATCATCATCACCACAAATACTTAATCCTCAATCTCAATCATCAACTGTATGGCGAACACAATATGTTTGTGATATAACATCAGATAAAAAAGTTGATAATTGGTTACGTACACCCTATTTTAAACGTGAACAAGCTAAAAGAATTGAAATTGAACTTGGTTTCTCTGTTCGAGATTGTTCATCATTTAGTAATCCAAATGAAATTCGATCATGTCGTGAAACATTTGAATTATATATTTATGAAACAGATGATATTAATAATAATTGGAATGTACAATCATATAAATTAATCGATATTATAGCTGGTAATCGTTTTACATCGTCAAATCATGGTGGTTCATTATCATCTGATATAAATAATAATAATAATGATCATAAAGATGTTGTCAATGTTAAAAGTCGAGGTATTGCAATTAATAAAAAAGGTTTTTATATTGCATTTCGTGATCAAGGTGCATGTATATCATTATTATACGTTAAAATATATTATCGTTTATGTGAAGAAAAAATAATATCACTTATTCGTTTTCCTGAAACAGCAACCGGTGCTCATTTAACCGATATTGAACAACGAGATGGATTATGTATTGATAATACAAAAATGATCTATAAACCAATTGGAATGTGTAAAGGAAATGGTAAGAATAAATTGTTGAGTTGTTGTTGTTGTTGATGTTTTTTTTACTCAAACAATCTTTTCTTCACTTAGACGTTCTTAGAATATTTTTCGTTAATCATTATTTCTCTAGTTGTGTTAAAATCAAGAAGTTTATTTAATTATCGATTTGTCTAATGATAAATATCAACCGACTCTTATTTTTATGAACAACTCACTCATTAAAATATATATACTATTCTCTCTATACTATACATATATATATATATATCTATCAAAGATACTGCTAATTATTTCTCATAATTATGAATTATTCCCTTTGCCACAGAAGGGATGCTGAACTTTGAAGAAAATGAGTCAGTCGATTAAATATACACTGAGAAAATTCTTTTTATGTTTTTATTTTGTTATTCTAATTTGTATTTTTTTATTTATTTATATTGAATTTTTCTTCTCTTTTTGTCTTTCGTCTTAGGTGAATGGGCATTTCAAGAGTCTTCATTACGTGAAAGTTGTCTTTGCCATGATGGTTATGAATTTGAATATATTAGTGGTGAATGTAAGGGTATGTATTAATGAACGAAAAATAAAAAGCAATTACAAGCTACTTATGTGTATGAGTGTGTATGCATCTATTATATAATAATCATAAAAATTAGCATCATTAATCCAAAAGAATAAGGAAGAAAAGAAGATTAATTTGATTGAAGAGAAAAAAACAAAAAAAAATAAAATTGTTTACCTTTTTTTCGTCTCGTCTCATTTTACGCATAATTCATAGTCTATGTTATAAAACATAAAAAATAAAAATAACATTTATCTATAAAAACAAAGAATAAAAACGGAAATAAATAAAACTCTATTATAAAGAAATAGTGTTTTGGTTTTTAATTAGAAAAAGATCAAAGTTTTAACATACGTAAAGAAAAGATAATATTTAAAAAACAAAAAAAAACACAAATGTAATCATTATATCGTATGTTTGTTTATTTTACATGATGACGTTTTTTAAAGTAGTTTTAAGACAAATCTATTTGTATATAGTGAAATACTTGATTACAACACTTTTAACAAACACACTATTAGCAGATTCTCTCGCTCTCTCTCTCGTTCAAACACATTATTGAATATTTATTTGAAGGATCTTTTACTAGACACTGTCATCGACACCGTTAAAATCTGCATCTGTTCAATTAGCCAAAAATGATAGTCATGTTGTTCGAATAACACTTTCTAAATTAAAATAAAGCTTCCATACATTTAATAAGAGAAGTTTCTCTTTTTTTCTGAAAAGTTGTTAAAATAGTACGTAGAAGACCCCCGTGGGAATAAATCATATGTATACACGCTAACCTTATAAGACCACTATTTAACGAATGTTAGATGCTTCTCTCTCTCTCTCTCTGTCTCTCTATCGCAATTAACTTTTTCACAATATAAAAACTGTTTTACCTATTCTGAATCTGTATTTTCTTCCTTAAATATAAAATTAGCTACATTTTCACATCTCTCTTCCCCGTCCTCCTTCTTCCATACACATTACATTGATGAAATCAGACTATTTGATTTACGGATGACATTTTTTTTTTCTTCTTCTTAATTGTTGTTCATGCTATACAGTTAGTCGTGGTCGACGTCTATGTACAACGACTTAGAAAGAAGTCGATAGCACGCGATCAAAAAAAAAAAAATGTCGCCTACGGTCATTTACAATAAAGCTAATAGATATTCTATGAACCATAATATATACACATTTAGGACAGAAATATTATCTAGCCTCATTTAATGTAGAGAGAAAAGAGAATGAGATAAGTTAATTCATTATCTGTATATATAGATTTTGAATTTTATCATTGTCGAAGAGAATATTTTTCTCATTATATCATCTTTTGCTCGATTTTTACTTCATTTCTGCTTAGATTGAGTACGATAATCGGTATAGTTCCGGTAAAAGTCTCTCTATTGTCAACAATTTTCATAACATAATGAATGATAGATCATTACTTATTATTGTTGCTATATGGGTGTTAATGTCTGTAATTATAGGTTTAAAATAAAATATATACAAAAAATCATGCAAAAAAAAAGTGAGGATGGGGGGGGTTAGGTGTCAGGAGTTGTATACAGTTGCTGTTAAGATAAAAGAAAAAAAAAAAAACATAACGAAAATAACACATACATGTTATAGTGAAGAATGAGTAAAAAAAATAGAACAGATGGTTTACAGTATTTTCTTTTTTTTTTTTGTTTTAAATGGAAAATAAACTTCAAACTATTTTTTAACATCGGAAATACATACTTGACGTAGATCTTAAGTTTGTTCAAGTGCTTTAGACAAAATAACTAGATAACAAAGATCAATTATCTCCACACTCATTCACGAACAAATAACACTTATAATTATACTACGTAGATAATCTAACTTAATTGTATTTGTTATTAATTGATAGAAGAAGAAAAAATAGTAAAAAAAACGTTATTATAGACTGATAAATGGATTAAAATTAATAATTATATGCTAAAAGTGTTTGTCTGTGTCTAATAGATACGATTGACTTTTATTAATTAATTTTATGGAACAGATTTAACTTGACTTCTAATAAGACAGACTCTTGATGCCGCAAGAGAGACTAATTATTCATCATGTTTCTATTTTTTTTCTCCTCTCTATTTAGCTTGTGCTGCTGGAAAATTTAAAAACTCTATTGGTAATGAATTGTGTCATAAATGCCCTTTAAATAGTCATACAATGAATAATGGTTCATCTTATTGTAATTGTGATGATGGTTTCTTTCGAATAAACGCATCATTATTTACTTCACCATGCATAGGTTTGTTGTCATAGTGATGTAATACCATGACAATTTTATTTAATACATTTTTATATTAGGTTCTCCAATTGAACCTCAAAATTTGACTGTTGAAGAAATTGATCAAGCATCAGTAAAAATAAGTTGGAAACGAACAGTCAATGATTTATCAGATATTATTTATCGTATTGAATGTAATCGAATTGTTGACGGTCGTTCAATACCATGTGAATCTCATGTAAACTATTATCCTAATAGAACTTTTCTAAATGGAACAAATGTTTGGTTAACGGGATTAGATGCTGATACAAGTTATCATATTGAAGTATTTTCTGAACAATGGTCAACACGTTTAACAAGTAAAACGGTTGATATTTCATTTACAACAAAACGACCAAGTAAGTCTAAATTTTAATAAAACTATAGTAGAAAAATAAAAATGTTTTTTATATTTTATTTTAGTTCCAAAAAGTATTCGAGATATTGCTGTTTATCGTTTAAATTTAAATACAATATTATTAACATGGGCAAAAAGTGATTTTGATTTGTATGAATTACGTTATTGGATTGATAGTGATTTTAGTAATAATAATAATAATAATAATGAGAAAACCCTTATTACTGTCAAAGATAATAATTTTACTTTAACAACAACGTTATTAAATATCAATTATACATTTCAAATAAGAGGACGAACACGCATAGGATGGGGTCCCTATACTCATCCAAAAACGATTACAATTGATTCAATTGATACTTTAACATCGTCACAGACAGCATTAGCTGCCGCTGCAACACGATTTGTTGAAAATAAAAATTTAATTGTCGGTGGACCAATTATTATACTCATTTTATTAATTGTTGTTATTATGCTTGCAATTATTTATATAAGAAGGTATGTCTATTTATTAAAGAACATAGATATTTTAGAGACAAAAAGAACCATAAATGTTTTGTATCATTATTCAATTATTGAAACATTTTTTCATTTTTCTTTAGAAAACGATCTTGTCGATTAAAAACTGCTAGTGATTGTGAATCATTAGACTATCAAAAACGTCAAGGTAAATAGAATTTTGTTTTTATTTACAATATAAATATATCAAGCGTATAATCTTGGATAAAAAAAACAAAATATAACGTTGATTTATTTATTTTTTTCTTGTCATCTTTATACTTATGGGAATGCAATGTTGCTTCTGTCTAGTAGAAAGTATTTTGAAAATGATATATATATATATATATGTTCTGTTATGTTTATTGTGTATATAGGCTATCGGCCAATGACACGTTATACAAGTAATCCTGCAAGTAAATCAAATTCTACAAAAAATGTTACCGAATGTAAATGATAGTTTTATGCTTCAGAAAATACACTATTAATTTAAAAAAATATATATTGATACCTATATTTTCATTAAAAAAAACTTGCTTTAATCATATTTATTCACTATTTCTGTATGAGCTTTACAGTCACCAATGCTATTTACAAATAGATCTGATAGTACCCACCCTGTTCTGAAGCTGATTTATTCTACTTAATTTTTGATATTTATTTTTTTTCATAAAACAAAAAGGATGCATGTAGTGCCGTTTTTCTATAACTATGTTTGCATGAGACGCTTTCAGTAACTTATTAGCTTTCGATAGTCTAGTGGTTTGGTCAATAAGGCTTTTTATAATATTATTACTAATTATTATTATTATTATTATTCAAGTATTAATTTGAAAAATATAAGAAATTATCTAATGCCTACTTTATTGTTGCTTGATTGAAATAATTTACTTTTTTTGCTTTGGTTTTTTTTTTTTGTTTTCTCGCCAATAATTGTGAAATCGAATTGATATTAAAAAATGTTCTTATATTAATCAATTTATTAAATTAATATGCTTTTATCTTTGTTTTGCTTCGCTTTTTAGTGAGTGGCCACTATGGACCCGATGCTTTTTTCAATTCTGGCTGTAAGTTTTTATGTATACAATGTATTCCACTCTATTTTAACTAAAACTTTTGTTAATTTAAATAATCTCTCAAAAAACTTTCTCTACATAATCTTAATATTTTATGATAACTTTAAAAATTTGATAGAAACGTCAATTAGAATGGCTGATTAGAAATGGTATGAGATTTTTTACTTAAATATAATTTTTTTATTTTATATTTTAGGGGCTGCACCATTATGGAATCCTACAGCTGCCTCATCCAAGACTTATATCGATCCACATACATATGAAGATCCAACAAAAGCTGTCAAAGATTTTGCTCGAGAATTGGATCCAAATCTAATTGTTATTGAAGCTGTTATCGGTGGTGGTAAGTACTATTTTTGCCCTTCATCATTGTTTGATTAATTCTGACTGACTGTTCCACAGAGAATATTACCAGAACGTCACAATTCATCCCCTATTTCATGTCATGAATGAATGAATGAATGAATGAATAACTAACCAATTTTTTTCATTTTTATCAAATATGAAATGTTGGAGATTATCATCGATCATAGAATAGATTCATTTTGTTTTCATTCAAGAAAAAAAAGAAAAAAAAGGCAAATACTATAGACAACTACAATATTCTAAATGAAAATATATAAATTCGATTAATATTAATGTTTTCTTATGCAACAAGACACACTGTCTTATTCCATCTTATTTAAAAAAACATTAAAATACGTGTTTGTCCTAACTCGATGTGTCGATTACGTAAAAAAATAAAAAAATAAAAAAATAAAAAGATAAAAAATTGATGAGAAAATTCTGTGCGACACTTCATAGGCATGTACTGAATCATCTCATATTTCTTTCATTCTATCATTAATCTTTGTTCGTAATAGATACTAGCAGAAAATCGATGTCATTTTTCTCTTTACTCAAATGATAAGAGAAAGAGTATTATGATTTTTTAGCCGTTAGATATGTATATATATATATATATGAATATGTGCTCAATGATATCTGTTTTATAACAACGAGATTTCAATAGTTAAGAATAATAATAAACTGAAGAACAGCCTTAAGTTACATATGTTTTATAGATCTTATATATTTAAGGCGAATTTGGTGATGTATGTCGTGGAAAATTGAGAAAACCAAATTCAAGAGATGTGACTGTAGCGATTAAAACATTGAAACAAGGAGCAACAGAGAAAACACGTCTTGATTTTCTTTCGGAAGCAAGTATTATGGGACAATTTGATGATGAAAATGTTATTTATCTGGAAGGTGTTGTAACAAAACATCATCCAATAATGATTGTTACTGAATATATGGAAAATGGATCACTTGACACATTTCTAAGGGTAATCTGAGAAGAAGAAGAAAAAAGATTTAATTGAATATCATTACATTTTAATTTCCTATAATTTTAGCTAAATGAAGGTAAAGCTAAATTAGATGCTTTACAGTTAACACGAATGCTTCGCGGCATTAGTTCTGGCATGAAATATTTATCAGACATGAGATATGTTCATAGAGTAAGGTTATCAATGAATGATTAATTACTTTGATATATTAGATAAATATTGATTCTTTATTTATAGGATTTGGCTGCACGAAATATTCTTGTTAATAAAGATTTAGTTTGTAAAGTTGCTGATTTTGGTTTAAGTAGAGAAGTGGATGGTGATACATATACAACACGAGTAAGAAGATTTAATAGAAAATTTTATTTTAAACTGATACATTATTTTATGATTTTTTTTCTATTTAAAAAGGGAGGAAAAATACCCGTGAGATGGACAGCAATTGAAGCAATTGATTATAGAAAATTTACATCAAATTCTGATGTATGGAGTTATGGAGTATTATGTTGGGAAATGATCTCATTTGGTGAAAGACCATTCTGGGATTGGTCTAATCAAGATGTTATTAAAGCAATTAAAAAAGGATATCGTTTACCACCACCCATGGTATGAAATATTTAGATGATATTTGATCTACATACTATGTTAATCTTATTTTTTTTCTATTTAGGGTTGTCCAGATGCATTATATAAATTGATGCTCGATTGTTGGAAAGATGATTATCTGGATCGTCCTAAATTTGAACAAATTGTTATCATATTATCAAATCTAATTCAAACTCCCACTAAACTTCTTATACTTGCCAAACAAACGTAAGATGATTTGATAAAGTCAAATATGACACAAACTTTACACTATTGTTTTATTCATTCTTTTTTTTAGATTCGTGTTTATAGTTAATCCTGATCAACCAAATTTTGCTCAAATAACATCTATTGACGAATGGCTTCATTCTCTACAACTTGATCATTGTATAAAACAATTTAAATCATCTGGCTATATGAATTTATCTCAAATATGTCATTTTACACAACGAGATTTAATCGATATCGGTTTGACTATAAATTTCGATCAACATAAAATATTAGATGCGTTAAAAAAAGCTCGATCTAATCTCGAATTGACGATAGGAAAAACGTCCGAAGGTTATCTCGTGTGATGATATTTGAGTTGTGTGTACTAATTATGAGGTTTAACAGTGGATTTTATTCTGAATGATAGATAGATGCTTGCTCAAAATGTGAATGTTCTAGTCTATGGAAAAAAAAATTTTTTTAACGTCTGATATATTCTAAAGTATTCCGTCTAATTATTTATTTATTAATTTGGTTTATATCCAGAAACAGCGTTATATATGCAATGAAAACCCTTGATCTAGTCATGATATTTTCTCACTTTGACACAAAATATGTATTCTTTTGATGAAAGACAATCGTTTCCTTCATCATTCCATTCTTTATTTACAACGATAATGTTCTTCCTTTCATAATATAAAAAATTAAATGCGATCGATGCAGAATATAAATCATAATATTTCATTTTTGTTTTGAAATGGTGATTTTTGTACATACGAAACGTCTTCTGGTTGCTCTTTGTTATTTTGCATTTTTTTTTGTATCTATTTGCATGTGTTTTTTTAGGAAAATTTTTTTTTTTTTTTTGTCTTTTTCTGTCAGTCTTATTCTAAATTAATATATAACACGTGATATTAAGAACTTTTTTTTTCAGAAATTTGTAAAATATACCTTATCTTATTGACAGCTATGGACACCATCAATGTTATACCACTGTGAGTGCTGAAAGTTTTGTTTTTTAAACAAAATTCAAAGCTACTATTAATAGCTACTCTAAAAACGCTTAAAACTATTTACTTTTTTCTCTGAACATCCATTAAAACAACCTGCAAATGGTCAAAAGAATAGTCGCTCAGTACGATGCATATGATCATTTGAAAAAATTGCTGCAAAATTTTATAATTACGTGAAAAAGGCAGGAACCAGGTTAGAAATCTTCACAAGTAGTTGGATCAGAAATTTCGGACACGTGCGGGTTTCTGCAATAAATTGTGTCTTCATGAGCAACATCATACAATAATTATAAAGAATAATAATATGAATCTTATTGTCTACTAATCAGCTATAGAACATATTACGCAGAATTTAAAATAATGATCAATATACTGGTGCTTGCTTTAACTCTGTCTGTTATTTTATCGGTCCTCTTCGGTGCCATAGTGAATCAATCTACCAAAATGTCACTGGTAATTATGATGCATGTAATATATTATTTCGATAAAACATTTCAGCCAAGGGAAAACGGGATTATCTCCAATGCGAATTTTATCATTTAAAATTTGACATCAGAAAAGTGAGTGACAATACCATGCACTTTTCTGTATCGTATATCAAGGAAAGCGGATGAATTTCCTTTGTTTATCACTCATCACCCACTTTAGCAGATCAACAGTATTATTCTACTGGGTAACCGGTAATCCATTTTTGTACAGAGTGCCAACTATAAGAGTGGATTATCAGTCATCTAGTATAATAACACTTTTGATCTACTAAAGTGGGTGATAAGTGATAAGCAGAGGAAATTTATCCGCTTTCCTTGATGTACGATACAGAAAAGTGCATGGCATGGTCATTTACTTTTCTGATGTCAAGTTTTACAGTGATAGTGTGTTCTATCATCGGTTTAGAATCGAATCTGGTTTGCTAATTATTTTGTACTATTAGTTTTTACAATCGAATCAGTAACAATCGATTAAAGTATTACAGCAACTGATCTGAGCTTGATGAGTGATAGTTGTTTACCGGCAGTAAATGAATTAAAGTAGAAACGGACAGACAACCAGGTTCAGCCACATTACAAAGAAATTGAGAATCATTATTAGTGGTGTACAAGGTAGATTATCGTAGTCTAAGGATAATTTCACATCTTAAATCTACCCTACTACGTCATATTTTAATCGTACCGTTGGTTAGATGACAGATTCGCATTCTTTTCAACGCCGTAAACCACTGACAATTTTAACTGGCGACTCTGCTACTGCCATTTAAATCTGGAAAAAATAATACTTCAATATTCTAATGATATTGTTGAATAAATAGTACCGAAATTTACAATAATAGCACATTAAAGACTTTAAGAAAAGAAAAGCGCCCCCTATTCACTTCTTTTAGTCATGGAGTATCACCATGGTATTTTATCTTTCCATGTTGAAAACGTTTTAGTCTATAGCAGAGCTGTGAGGGGAAGATTGACAGAACTAAGCTAGAACTTTAGTTTAAATAGAGATTTACAACAAGGACAAGCGTAATCTGAGTTCCATCTAGCTTATATCTCGTAATACTTTGATCAAGTGTGTGTCTTCGCTTCGCGCTTTTTTTAACAGTAAGATGACGGCTGCAACTTTCTTGGCTTTAGGGTTTAGATTCACTGGTTGTGCAATGAGAACAAAGTAAAAGGAAAAGTTGACACTAAATATACGAGTCTTCCACTTGAGCGGGTTTGCCAATTACATAAGCAGTGTTTTAAACGTAACTTCGAGAGAAAACTTTTTTTTTAGACTAATAAATACCTACTAGAAGTAGAAATACGAATAAAACTGCAAAATCTTGCAAAAAATACGCTGAATGCATAGGTGGCGGAACCACTACGCTGGGTAAGGCTTGAGCCTTACCCCGTTTTGATAAAAAAGTTATATGTTATCATCCTTCTGCAAAAAGAAAATGTATTTTGCCTAGCTGTCATAAAAAAATTTGATTATCAGTTAATCGATTAAAGTTTTGTAGTAGTCATTAAACTTCCAGTAGTCAACTGTTCAAATCAAAATCAAATTTATTTCATGTCCTGGATGTTAAATTGACAGTGGTGCTGACAAAAAGTTAAGTGAGAAACTTTGACTAGGTCAGCACCATGAACGAAAGAGATAAAAAGAAAAAAAGAGGAAAAAAGATGGCTTAAGAACAACAATGCATTTACAATAAACAAAGATGTTTAC